CTCTCTCTCTCTCTCTCTCTCCCCCCCCCCCTGTATACACAACAACAAGACTGCCCAAAGGATGGTGTGATAATTGACCGAGGATATAGCAGCTTGCTCTGACCCAACTCTATGGCTTCATCCTCCCCCTCTGTTGTGCATGCTCAAGATTTTCTCAAACGATTGTTCCCATTGTCTTGACTTATGAAATGATGATGTAGACGCTATTGATTCTGCGAGGGAGTCAAGGATGGGCGATGCACTTCACAACGTCGGTGAAGCCATCATTCTTCTCCAGGTAGATGGGATGGATGTCTTACCTTCTCTTTTGTGCTTACCTCTTACAGCTGTGCAACTTGTGCTGGAAACTATGATGCTCTCAGGTGTTCTTGTTTTCATCTGGATCCTTCAGCCCAGTTCACAATGGCTGACACAGTAATACCAAATGGGTTGGGGCTCTTTTCGGATTTGGAATCTTGTTAGCTTCGATCGTGGGGATCAAGTAATGATGTGTAGTCTCCATTCTGCTGTGTCTTCCTTTCACACATGACTTGTGTGCTGTCCCCTTCTCATTGTTCTCAGCCAATTCTCTGTCTGTCTGTGTGCCTGTTTGTTTCTTTTTCTCTCTTTTTCTCTTCATCCCTCTCTCTTGCCCCTGCTGCTCTCTGTCGAACTCTCGGTTGGGTTTTGGCAATCTGCAGATGCCCCTCTGGCTCTGCGCTCTTTACCAGATCTATCAATGCAAGAGTGAGTACTGCCTTTCAGTGTAATGATAGCAGGTCAAATAGGGCACCAGTTTGCACAAAGGATAGCAGACAGGTCCTTACCCCATGGTGACAGATGTTCCACACTCATGTTTGACACTGTGCTGATGGTTGTGTTTGCTGCAGATTGCCAAAACCTTGGTGAGCTGTGGTGTGACAGCTGTTTCCATTGGCGCAATCTGCCCATACCAGGCACAGGTGCGACTGCTCAGTCGAATGAGCACAAACGAAGGTTTGCCTGACATGGAGGTCCACACGGTTGACAAGTACCAGGTAAGCTCTGGGTATATCACTAAGTCCTCCTGTTTCCCTTCCTCCCTCTTGCTTTCCTTCTTCTTCTTCTTCTTCTTCTTCTTCTTCTTCTTCTTCTTCTTCTCTCTCTCTCTCTCTCTCTCTCTCTCTCTCTCTCTCTCTCTCTCTCTCTCTCCTGTCTCTTATACACATCTTAGATGTGTATAAGAGACAGCTCTCTCTCTCTCTCTCTCTCTCTCTCTCTCTCTCTCTCTCTCTCTCTCTCTCTCTCTCTCTCTCTCTCTCTCTCTCTCTCTCTCTCTCTCTCTCTCTCTCTCTCTCTCTCTCTCTCTCTTCCCCTGGCCCTGCAGGAGGCAGCCTGGGTTACTGAGCAGATAATTAATTGTAATTAAAATAATTTAAATAATTTAAATAATGAAAATAATTAAATAATTAAAATAATTCCTTGTAATTAAATTTACATAATTCCTTGTAATTAAAATAATAAAAATAATAAAAATAAAAATAATAAAAATCTAGGCTACCAGAGTGGCACGGGGTCACTTGCCCGGCCGGGCCAAAAAAAAATAAAAAATATATATTTTTTATTTTTTATTTTTTATTCTACATTTGGTGAAGAATTTCGATGTGACCCTGAGGCAAAAGTTATTCAGTTTATTTGTCTGCATAACATAGTTTTTTTTCGGATTTTTTGGATGTCTTTTTTTTTTTGCTGGGACCCTCCCTGGTCCTTGCACGGGCTGGCCACCCGGGACCCGGGCGGCCCGGCTGGTAGCCTAGATAAAAATAAAATAAAATAAAATATAATGTAATAAAATAAAATAAAATAAAATAAAATAAAATAAAATAAAATGAAATAAAATAAAACAGAATAAAATAAAATGAAATAAAATAAATAGCACAGTCAAGTCAGTGGCATAAGAAAAGAAAGACGGAATGACGAAGGAAAATATAATAACCAAGAGAAAGGTGAAAAACGGAGTAAAGTTTTTTGGCTCTACAACCAGAGTGGGAATAAGTACATGGATGAATCCGCGGAAGGTATTCCGTGAAGAGAATTGAAAGTACGAAGAAGTGTTATCTACGGATAGAATTAGGGATATAATACTACGGGGGTGGGGATTGGAGACAGGAAGGTGTCGGATGAAATGGTAAAATACGGAGGAGGGACTGTAAGAAAAATACGAGAGGAACTATATCTACACAGAAAAGACTACGAGATTTATCGTCGGAAGCAGAGATATTGGAAAATACGGAGGAGGGACTTTTTGTCAAAATATGATAATCCAAGGACTACAGTATTTATCGCCTAAAGCAAGGATGAGCCAGGTGAAATTGTAAAATACGGAGGGGGGACTTTTAAGAAAAATACGATAGGAGGTATATCCAGACAGGAAAGACTATGTGAGTTATCGTTCTGAAGCAAGGATGAGTCGAGAAATTGGAAAATACGGAGGAGGGACTTTTTACAAAATTGGATAGAAATTATATCCAGATAGAAAGGACTACGGGACTCATCGTCGAAAGCAAGGATGATACGGGCGAAAATGTAAAATACGAAGGAGGGACTTTAGGAGAATACGATAGGAATTAGATCTAAAAGACTACGGGATTATCGTCGGTAGCAGGGAGGATGCGGGCGAAATTGTAAAATACGGGGAAGGGATTTTGTGAAAAATAGGAGGATAAGTATATCCAGATAAAAAGTGTGTGAATAGAAAGGGAGTTACGGGAAGGGTTCAGCAGATAGGAGCAGAGACAAAAGGAGAGAGAACTGCAAGAGTAGGAGGACACTTGGGAGATGAGCATCCAGCGGCCGAAAGTGTGACGACGGAATTCTGCGACCAAGGACGTGATGAAAGAGTATACTACAGGTTAGAGGAAGGATAGGTGGGGAAGAACTGGAGGTGTACGGTATAAATACCTAGATGATGGCTGGGATGATTACCTGAGCAGAGAGGCAGAAGGGTGATCGCAACTTCTTGTTGTCGCATGCCATGGGCAGGACGTGTATTCTGTGAGAGTAAAGCCTCGCACGTATTGTCCAATTCGCAAGTGTTCTCTCTCTCTCTCTCTCTCTCTCTCTCTCTCTCTCTCTCTCTCTCTCTCTCTCTCTCTCTCTTGCACGTGTGGGCTTAGTCTCATTGCTCTTTCATCTATATAAATGGCATATGAAACTAAAAAAAGGCTCTAAGTNCTCTCTCTCTCTCTCTCTCTCTCTCTCTCTCTCTCTCTCTCTCTCTCTCTCTCTCTCTCTCTCTCTCTCTCTCTCTCTCTCTCTCTCTTCCCCTGGCCCTGCAGGACCAACCAGGCAGCCAAAGGCAGCCTGAGCTACTGAGCAGATAATTAATTGTATTTTAATTTTCTATTTTTCTATGGGGTTGCACTGTGGCACGGCATTGGTTTGATGCAGGGGCGAGACAAGGATTGTGTCCTTGTCTCATTCGTACGGTCGAATGGAGCTGCACGGAAAGCAGGGTCGTTGTTGGCCGATTGGCGACGGGTGAACGTTGCATTGACACGCGCAAAGGTATCTCCTATCTATGCTTGCCATCTTGGACCAAGCCTACAGGGGGAAAAGAAGAAAACAAAAATAGACCTACCCTTCAACAAGACCTACCCTAAAAAGAGACGAATCCTTCAATCCATGGATCTTTAGGATACAGAGACTCCTCCCTTGTTATCAGAAAGTATATTCAACCATATCCTAGCCCCCTACTGCCCCCCAGGCAATCCTCCGCCTGCTCACCTAGAGTGTGAACCCTCCTAAGCCCGCTGTGATCCCCTCTACACCAACATTTAGCAGCATGTTAGCTCTTGGCTGCTTGTTATCCCTGGCTGTAATCCTTGCCTATGTACACTGAGTGCTTGTCCAGTCTACTCCAGAAGTTGTAAATCCCCTGAGCCCCACTAACTCCTCATGCTCTCCTCACCTCAGCCCACACCCCCTTTCCCCCCTCCAGCTCTCCTTCAACCTGGTCTAAAGATGGAAGGCAGAAGGAAGAAGGAGAAGGAGGAGGAGGAGGAGGAGGAGGAGGAGTAGGAGAAGGTGAAGGAGAAGGAGAAGGAGAAGGAGAAGGAGAGCAAAGAGGGTAAGAAGTCAAAGGATGGAAAGGAGGAGAGAACGGTGAGGGAGGAAGTGGGAAAAGGGGAGGATGGAGAATGGCAAAGAAAATGTCTCCTGTTGAATGCACAGGCGATTGAACCCTGATTGATACTTCAGTGAAGAGCAAATCAGACAAAGTCTTCCAGGGTAGATACAAGTTGAACTTGCAACACAAGGCACTCTTACAAACATTGTGTCCATGATCAGTAAATGAGCAATCCATCACTCATGCTGAATGAGAGCATACTCACACTAGGACTTTTACAACTAAGCTCTGGACGTAATTGCGCCCAGATTCATCCATGTCAAGGTGGAATTGTTGTCAGATACATCCAGGTGTGACCAGCTCTCCATGCATGGTCTAGATAGTAATGTCGTCAGATTCGACATCAACTTCATACTTGCTGGTATGCTGGCCGTTGCAGGTAGGGTCATGTGCTCGATTGAGAGCTAGTGTGCGAGAAATGCCGTGCCTGAAGTGATGTTGTGTGTGTGTGTGTGTGTGTGTGTGTGTGTGTGTGTGTGTGTGTGTGTGTGTGTGTGTGTGTGTGTGTGAGTTCAGTCAGTGCATTCATGCAGGGGTGGGGTGTGATATCACACGGTTTCACTTTTGTACACCATGCGATGATTATACCACCAGTTCACACAAGTCTAAGTTGACGAAGCTGCCTTCCAAGGATCGTGAGCTGCCAGCTGCGCTTTTTCATAGTGGCCGACCGCTTTCACTGCAGACCCAGGCCCAAATTGAAAACCTCTTACCGCATAAACGGGTAAGAACCCCACTCGGTTCGCATGAACTGGCGATTTAAGATGCCTGGCTCTTCAGGCGAAGGGTGCCAGTTCGGTTCTGTGTGCAGTTAATGCCGAGGAATGCACTGAGCTGTCCCTTAGTGAAGTGGTATTCTTGAAGTGGTATCCTTGTAGAATGGATATCTTCAGTGCTAGCTGTCCCTTTGTTGCATCAACTGTTGCCACACGGACAACCCCGATATCTGCTCTTGACTTTGTACCTCCTCTCCTTCTCCTTTTTCTCGGGAACAGACTGAGTGGTCCAAAAAACATCCAGAAACCCTAAGCCCAATGACCTTACGGTCTGCCTGGGAGGGGATTTGAACCGCCATACCTTGTAGTGTGCAACAGGACCCTGTTTTGTCACTTTTGTGTGCTTATTATGCCATTGTGTTCTGGGATTTTTTTCAGAAAAAGCTAATAATGATCGGCTCAAGAATGACACTGTCATCGGTTCCTGTCCTGTGCAAGCTGATTGAACTGGTCAGTAAGAAAGTCCACAGTCTCCCCCTTCTTACCTCCTGTCCGTCACCTCCTCCTGTCCGTCACCTCCTCCCTGGCTTCCCCTTTCTCCCTACGCAATCTTCTGCCTGTCCCTTCCTTGCTTTACCCTCCCTCCCTAGCTCCGTTATCATGTATGCCCCCTCTTCCTCCATTTTCAGTGTTTTCACCCTTTCACCCCTTTGCTCCTCTTTTCCTATACCTCCGCTGCCAGTGCCTCATTTCCCTCCCTCCCTGCCTCTCTCCCTTGCTTCTCCCCTCACTCGCGCTCGCTCACCATCCTTATCCTCTCTTCTCTTGTCTCACTCACTTTTGCATGATGCACTACCCCCACCTGTAACGCC